GTCTGTGCTGATCTTCAGCGTTAAAGGGTGAATTAGCAGTTCTACATTAACTCCAGCGTTTAAGACCATTTACTGTTAAACTGTGTTGAACGATCAGCAGAGCTTTATTTTACTGTAAAGGAGGATTATTTTATTATTACCTAAACATCTAATTCTGCTGTGGAGCCACAACAGGGCAGTAAAAGAGCTGCATGTTGCCGACCCCTGCCCCAGACGTTCTCGTTACGAGCTACAGGTATAAGAGCACGTCGGCTTGTCTCTGGGTGTTTGTGCATGCACAAATGCACTGATGGGCTGCGAGAGAGATGCAGAAAATGCGGTGACCGAGTTCACCCTATCGATCCCTTCTGTTTTTTCTTTATCTTTGATCTATCCATCCTATCTCCCCTCTATCTGCAGTCTTGGAAATTAGAAGCAGCAGAGCAGAGTGAAGAAAAAATGGAAAACACACACGCACACACGCCACCTCCCGCCAGATTCAGGTGACGTTGATCAGACATTACTGAGACACCTACAGGACTCTGGGACTGTATGAGGCTCTGAGCAGATGGTGGCAGTGTGTGTATGTGTGTGTGTAGCTGCAAAAGGTTTCTCTTCAGCTCTCCTTCTCTCTGGAGCTCAGGGACCCAACACCAGGTCCAAGGTCATTTTAAGACAAACCGTCTTAATGCCAGATTGATTACAGCGCGGCCGAGACTTCAGACCCTCACACAATCATCTCGGTACACACTACACTGTTTGCACACAATTAAGCAGCGATATCTGCTTACTGCACCTTTTCACTTTCCGAGCACATCATCCGCAGTCCCTTTTCTGCCGTACACGCATGCTTCTCACCACTAGATGTCACTGTTTCCAAAGCCTTTTGTCATTCAGGGAGCTGCTGGGCTTTAAGTGCTGCAACTCTGCTCAGTCTGAACTCCAATCGATGGTTATTATTGTGTCCTTGGCCCAGTTGCCCAGAGCAAGCATTCAACGGGAGTCCAGCCAATGATTCCCCCTCTTCCTCACGGGTGACTCTCCGTTTCTCTCTGCCGCCTTCAGTCCATATATCCTTCTGTCTCTCTCAATGAGCTGCTCTGCTCTTTACAACCAGGCTACCACACCAGCAAGTAAACACGGACACTCCCTCACTTCTTCAAACTAAAAACACATGAGATAAGGACGCTGAGTCATGACAATAAACTGTGGTAGGGCTGCACGATATGGATGGATGTGAAGTGTGATATTCGATAAAGCTGGATATCACAATGACTACATGGGAAGCGCTAACTTAATATTAAATTAAATCAAAAAACTGGACTCTGACTGGAGAGACTTTTTTAAAAAAATCTAACTAACCTCTCCTTTACTAACAAAAAAAAATACAAAATTACAAAAGCACCATTCACTATTGTGCAACATAAAAACAATAAAATACTGACAGCCACTAATATCAGAACTGCAAGCACATTTTAAATAGCATCATAAAGCTCTTTGGCTGTAAATGGCACCCCCTTGTGGAGAATCTGAAGCCTGCGAAATGTGAGTTCCCAAAGAGGCTTTAGTATAAAAACAGTCAGCATTCCCTGAACAGCCTTTTCTATTTATATTTACAGTGAGGCTAAAAACATGAACAACTATTCATAATTTAATTTTCACTATAGGCCCACAAAAACAAATACTATTTAATTACTTAAAGCTCCTAATGGTGATGCAAGTTTGTTGTGACAGTAGCCAGTCACTATTGTCGGAACAAAACCTTGTATCTCCAAAATGGTAACTTTACAGGAGAAGGAAAAAACATACTTTACTTTCAATGTAAGTCAATGGAACCAGACTTTTTCACAAGTCATTTTGGGTCGTTTATTTTGGTATATTAATCATGAAATTTACAAACAATGTAAAGGGCAACAGGCATTTTAAAATTATGCCAAAAACTAAAAAACAACAAAAATGGAGATACAAGGTTTTGTTCCGACAGCAGCGCATTACTGCTTCATACACTTTACCATACAGTCAATGCATTTCATACACAACACTGAGAGTGAGAATAATCATGTTGTAAGCATTACGACAGGCCAGCTGTTCAGAACAGTCCTTTTTTGGGCTGTTGAGCCAAAAGGTGGGAGCAGAGTTCAAGCATCTGGGGCTTCTAATGCTACATTATCACCAATGTAATTATGCCACTTAGCCTTTAGATGGCTGCAGTAGTCTTTCTACCTTTCATTCACTGGAGGAAATAGATAAGAAACTCTGATAAAGGCTACATTCACACAGCAGGTAAAAGTGGCCCAAACCTGATTTTCTCACCAATATCCCATTTTTACATTTGGCAGTTCACAATATCTTTTTAATGGTATCTGTTTGTGACATCAGTCTGAACAGATCAGCTCCTAAACCGATCCGCATACGCAAAAAAACAGAGCTTCACTGTTTTTTATTTTGACCCGTTCTATCCATGCAGCCTTTAATGCGTGTTTATCGCAGAAACTCATATCGCAATAAAGATAAAAACACAATTTATCGAGCAGCCCTACTGGGTGGTGACCAATCTGTGAACTCTCTGACTAAAAGAGCAAGAAAATAAAAAAGACACTTTTTCCTGTTTGCTCCTATTTGTGTCTCATTATCGTCCTCCGTATTCTGTGTGCGTGAACGTGCAAGTCTGTAAATGATGTGAGTGTGAGACTTAATAATAAGCTCAAATAGAAAACATTAAGGTTTCAAAAAATGTTTGTTTAAATGCATGGACCTAATTAGTGCATTACGAAGTGAGGGAGAGTGCAGCAAAATCACAATCACAGATGCCAGGTGTGAATAAACAATGCACTATAATTTAAATCAACACCTGCACCTCCCACACAAGAACTCAAGGACACGCACAGGCTGAGAGAGAGAGAGAGAGAGAGAGAGAGAGAGAGAGACAGAGAGAGAGAGAGAGAAAGAGAGAGCGAGAGAGATTCCCATCAGCCTGACTTCCAGTAAATAAATAAAGTTCTAATAATAAATGCACAATGCAGCTCTGATTCTGCTGCTATGACCACAAACAAATGAGATTTAACGATGTTAATAACAGCTTGAAGACAACGCAGAGAAAATGTTGATACTAAAATTGAGTTATATTAAATATCCAGCAATACTGAATAAAAAAACAAGCTTGAAACACAATAAAACTGCTAATCAGACTTGAGAACTGTCCTTATACTCTAAAGAGCACGCCTGATTGACAGCCCTCCATCCAACACTGACATGTGGCTTGAAATTAGATGAACAACAAGAAAGGTGTCAATCTAAACTCTTTAGGATAAACAAATTCTGATGGTCTGTTTCTAACAGCTTAGCTAACATTACCACCTTATTCACCTTTTAGCTTGAAGACAGAGTTTGTGAAGAGTTTGTTAGCCGTTACCAAACGTGATCAGCTAATTAAATTATGTTGACTTGTTCCATTACGTCTATATTTATGAGAAGAGTGTAGAATGAGCTTATTATTTATCTGCGCTTTTTGTGATGCTCACTAGGTGCTCTAGCTGTGCTATGTCCTACCCGGTGTCACCCTCTTTTTTCAGCAGTGCGAAATGATGACGAATGTACAGTTGGATTGATGAAAAAGCTGCATGAACTCCGATCTGGCTGTTCAGACTGAGCCGCATTGCCGTATATCGGATATGTATCGGATTTCAGTAGCACATATGAAAGCGTCTCAAACTGGAATTGAAAATATCAGATTCAGTGTGTTTTTGCTGTTCACAATGACACACAGATACACATCTGTGTCACATATAAAAAAAAAAACAAAAAAAAAAAGAGCAGATTTGGGCCACTTTTACCTGCTGTGTGAACACAGCCTAAACCTCTGACTAGTATAGACAGCTCATAGCTCTTTTGAGAATGTATAACAACAGCGATTGCATGTCAAAAATCATCCTTTACTATTCATTTTTTTAACTTTTATAACTATCTGAATCATTCTGGCTCAGCCCTAATATACACATGGCTGGTGTGGCTGGCTAGAAGGACAAATGAACAAACCAGCTACAGCTATGTATGCTACGTTAGCTTTTGCTTGGTTGTTAGCTTTCACTCAATTCAAGACACTACAGGAAACACAGTGTTGCTTAAACTGTGTGGGCATTAACCACGTGCCTGGCAAGGGCTATGCCTATGTAAGCACAGCCCAGAATGAGGACTGGCCAGTTAAATCGAAAGGGGATTTTGGCTGTTTATATGGGTCATTTATTGGACGCTGGAACTCACAGGACATACTGTGTACATGTATATCATGCACTCTTACAAAAGATGGTTCTTCAGGTTCTAAATAAAATAGTTCTATATAGAACTATGAACACTCAAAGGTGAAAGTGTTCTTCAGATTGTTGGAGAATGTGCTGTAGATGGTTCTATATAGAACCTTTTTGAAAAGGGTTCTATACAGCACCCAAAAAGGTTCTTCTACTGTTACGATGTTAAAGCTACAGTGAGAGGAAACGGTTCAATATATAACACTCACAGAACGCTTTACATGATTAAAGGGTTCTTTGTATGGCGAAAGGGCTTTTCAGACTGTTGGAGAATGTGCTGTAGATGGTTCTATATAGAACCTTTTTGAAAAGGTTCTATACAGCACCCAAAAAGGTTCTTCTATTGTTATTATGTCAAGCTTGTAACAATAGAAGAACCCTTTTTCAAAAAGGTTCTACATAGAACCATCTATAGCACATTCATGCACATTTTCCATCAATCTGAGGAACCCTTTCATCATGCAAAGAACACTTTAATCACGCAAAGCGTTCTCTGAGTGTTCATGGTTCTATATAGAACCATTTTCTTTACTAAAGAACCTTTGAAAAACCTTTTTTTTAAGGGTGTGGTTCATAAAACCAAGATTAAGCTACTTAGAAAAAAAACATGTTTTGAGTTCAGCGGGACTTCAACTGATGTCTGCAAATTATTTACCATGTAAAAGTGTGATTGGATAAGATTTGAAAGGCTCCCGCAGAAAAAAGGGCCTGTGTTACCTCGCAAAGTCCAGGTCCGCTTCCCGTGACATGGTAATGTTGGTGAGGTTCTGCTGAAGCACAAAGATGTTCCTGCACATCTTCTTAATGCCAGACTCGCTGATGCGCTTAAAGTACTGAGCCCCGTTGATCAGAATGCAGGAGATCAGGTGGCCCAAACCTGCAGGGCACACACAGAGAGAAGCAGCGTGATGCTAATGGCAGAACTAGCTTTCATTCTCTGTTAGATACATTTGTGCTGTCTGGTTGAAATCGTCTGATAATGAAGCTGGACTTCTTCCATATTGATGACTGCTAAAAAGATGGAACCGACAGATATGGAGAGCACAGGGTTGAGACCGCATTAGGGTCGCCTTATTTCAAAATGGGGTCAACAGGAAAGTTTTAAAAAGGGTATAACATAAAAGTGGGATTCTTTTGGAGCTTCACTACGTAACAGGCCTGCTAACACATTGAAATGAAATGTTTTTGGAAAGGAAATGCTACAGATGATCAGCCAGTTTGCAGCCAGATTCTACAGCCACTTTAGAACTGCACCAAACCTGGAATGTACTTCAAGCACTTGTATAGATGGCAGCTGTCATACTGTTTTTACAGACTTCTCTCTACACATTTTTCTAAAATATGGCCCCTTCAAGCTGTTACACCATTAAAATCTGCCTAATAGTAACTTCGAACCTAATATCAGTAGAATACATTTGCTATATGTAAGAAATTGCACTATTATTCTGCCCCAAGACGTGTATTTGGATCTGAACTGATCATACTTGGCACTGAAGGGCTAAATCATCTTAATTACAAAGAAAGGTCCAACCTTTTGCATTACATTTACACTTTGGTCACAAAACAAATGGATTCTGAAGAACCAGACTTACATTATTTATAATATTGGTAGCAAATTGTAACTTACAGATGAACAGTACTGTGCAAAAGTCAGAGACCACCCTTCATTTACTTAATTTCCAGCAAAAACTGGAGTTTAAAAAAGAAATGATTAAAAGCTACAGAGAAAACGTGACTCCTAACAACCAACTGGAAGACCTGGTAGACACCAAAACTGACCCCATCAGATAAACAGCACTTAAAGCTCTCATCTCTGAGAGAGAGGAGAAAATCAAGCTGCTTCAGATCTGAAAACATCCACAGGTGTTTCTGTCCATCCTTCCGCTGTGAGAAGACGACTCAGCGCTGTGGGTCTGAAAGGATGTGTAGCTGTCAAGAAGAACCTCACTGAGAAAAGGAGACGGACACATCAAACAAAGAAGATGAACAATGGACTGACCACCCCAGAGTCCAGACCTCAACATCACTGAATGTGTTTACTGGATCGTGAGAAGCAGAAAATACAACCAACTTCTAGGACTGAACTTTGGACGCGTGGAAAAATATCCCTGCAGATTTCTTAGAGAAACTGAAAGAAAGTCTCAAAGAAAGTTGGAAGCTGTAATAAAGAGTGGACGCACTACATTGTTGAGGCTTCTGTATAATTTTATGTTGAATATCTTTTCTGCTTTTTTGTCTGACACTAAAAAATGAGTAGCTTGTACTGAATGGCCATTTTGACTGGAAATTAAATAAATGAAAGGGTGGATTAATGGAACAGCCCATTAATGACTATTTCTAAGGAAACTCCTGGCATAGTGAATGGGTCCAGCTGTGATTTCACATGGCCATAAAACATAACAGTGATGTCCCTGTCAAACTCCCACACTCACCCTCGAAGATGTACTGGAACTTGTGCTGCTGCAGCGCTGCCCCCATCACCTCCTCGATGGCACTGATGTCCTTATTGAGCTTGACCACCAGGGGGTCGTAGTCCATGCTGGTAGCGTTGGCCACGATGGCGTAGTTGCCCTGCTTGGCCAGCGGGATGAGATGGTGGAAGCAGTGAACTCTGCGAAGAGAATGCATCCAGACAAAGAGGCACAATGACTCAATATTTCAGTCAGTGAAAGATGTGATGTTTTGACAGCAAGATTACTGAAGGGCTTATGACTGTATGACTGTATTTTCCTTAGAATTTTGTTAACGCAGCCTTTGAATACGTACTTATGACTGGAGGGAAAAAAAATCTCAAGAGTGCCTGAAGAATCTCAGAAAGAGAGAGAAAGAAAGGGAGAGAGAAAGAAAGAGAGAGAGAGATCTCTCCATAATGGTTGCCTCCAGTTACACGTTCATCAGTTTCCCATAAAATAGCCCAAGCCTCCACTACCATTAAAAACCTATGAGTGCCGCCACTCCGCCACCAAACCATAAAGCCTCCATCCTCTCCTCCCCTGGCTTAATTTACTCACAAGCACTGTCAGGGGAAATTTGCTTGATGGGAAAAGTCAATAATGCGTGGCACGAGAGCAAGGAGTTACTGTTTCCAAATCATAAAATAGGAGTGCATAAGCTAAACAATATCTGTGAGCAATCTGGAAAAGACAAGAGGTGGCCATTAAGGCTTGCAGAAAGCAATGCTTCATCTAAAAAAAATAAATAAAAATGATAACAGTGCTAATGACAAATGGACGTTAGCAGAGACCATCTGTATTATATGAAAAAGCTCATGCTAACTGTTTCCCACACTTGATTCTTTCAGTGGTAGAAACATTATGGTTTTTTGGGTTCAAGCTGCTCAGAAGAACAAAGACACACAGAGAAACAGAGTTACGTCTCGAGGGCTAAGAGACTTGAGTTAAGGGCTTAGATATAGAGCTTCATCTGAAGAAAAGCAGACATAATGGACCTGTGTATGAGTGCACTGACCGGACACTTTATGTAATATGAGGAGCAGTTAATGGACTTGGGGCATCCTTAAAGACAAGAGCACTGGCTAGACCTTTATTTCCAGGGTCATGCAGAATGACCAGTCCAGATGCATGGCCAAGCCTTGGTCTTTCCTTCTGAACATTAATTTGTCATTTCACAATCAAATATATATATATATATATATATATGTATGTATTGTATTAATATTGTATTATATATGTATTTATACATACTAATTCAGGCAGCAGTGCAGATACTGGCCAGCAGCTTCAGGTAATGTTCACATCAACCATTGTTGGTGCCAGACAAGCTGGTCTGAGTGTTTGTGCTGATCTCCTGGGATTTTCACATACAGCATCTCTAGAGTCGCTCTAGAAAAACATCCAGTGAGCGGCAGTTCTGCTGATGGAAGTGCCTTGCTGATGAGACAGGTTTACGCACAAAGCCCAGACTGGTTCAAGCTGACAGAAAGGGTACAGGAACTCTAATAACCCTTCTGTACAGTTGTGCTGAGCAGAAAAGCATCTCTGAATGCACAACACATTGAACCTTTAGGCGGATGGGCTACAACAGCACAAGAGCAGAAAGCTGAGGCTGCAGTGGGCACAGGCTCACCAAAACTGGACACTTAAAGACTGGAAAAATGTAGCCTGATCTGATGAATCTCCAATTCTGCCGGACACACAGATGGTAGGGTCAGAGTTGGGCGCCAATGGCATGAATCCATGGACCCAACCTGCCTTGTGTCATCAGTCCAGGCTGGTGGAGGTGGTGTAATGGTGTGGGGAATGTTTTCTTGGCAGAATTTGGGCCTGTTAATATCAATCAATCATAACTTGAATGGCACAGCCTATTTGAGTAATGTTGCTGACCATGTACATCCCTTCATGGCCACAATTTACCATCTTCTAATGGCTACCTCCATGCAAAAGTTGTCTTGTGTGTGTGTGTGTGTTTATACATATATATATACACACACATGTATATATGACTATTATACATATACATGTGACTATTGCTTTGTGTCTGCAAACTAAACTGCTTTCATATTATTGAAATCATTGATTCCAAACCTTTGAACTATGATTCTAAACTTGTTAACAGTAGTGTTATTAAAAGAAACCAATGAAGCCATTAAGAAGGCTTGTAAGCTCAGCTTCAGCACTACAATATTTAATACTTTGTGAGTTAAAGTCACTGATGTCAAAAGACTGATGATCATATCAATAAGAGAAGCACAGTTTAACTAAAATGTGGAATCTATTTAACCCTTGTGTGGTGTTGATGTGTTTGTTACTCAGTGGTCTGCTGGACCCACCACATTATCGTTTTTAAATCAATACAGCCATAAAAATGTATGTAAAAATACCAGATGTTTAAAATATCACAAGTGTCCAGCGTAGGGTTCTCCTTTAGCAGCTGTAGCCAGTCAGCAGCCTGTCCATGTTGTCCATCCTCAGACACACACACACACACATATATATATATATATATATATATATATATATATATATATATATATATATATATATATAAATATATATATATATATATATACACAAACACATACACACACAGACACACACACTAACAGCAGGCCATGTAGGAGGAGAACAGAGTGGAGGACACAGCACCTCCACACTTTTACTCCCCACGGGTTCACCCAACACCACATGTCTAATATAAATGTGTGGGGGGTGAACAGAGTGAAGACACTGAAAATGGGTTATTTTATATGTTCTTCACAAAAAATGACCAAAGGCCAAGAAATCTGAGGTTGAAATAGTAATAACTCTCAACATTCTTTCTTTTAGTAAACACTGAAAATGGGTCCCACAGACCTGAACACCACACAAGGGTTTTCTTAAACTGGCCAATATTGTTATTGGACTTTTTAGCTCCTCAGAGACAAAATATTTCAGTCAGGCCCTCGCATTCAGTGGACCAGGAATGCTTACTGAAATCAGTGCTTTGGTTGAGTCTGAGTTTTGTCTGGATGAGGAGAGCTGGTTGGACCTACCTGACCTCCAAGTGTAGCACGAGCAGGCAGCGGTCAGCAATGTCCTGGAAGGACCTGGAAAGGTCGGAGAGGGTCTGCAGGATGTGCTCTCGACTGCGTGCACTCTCACTGCTCGCCTGGGTGTCTGAGCCTGGAGATGCACCTGAATGCACACACACACAAACACACCACATAGGGTTGTAACTACACAGTCATAGGCCCGGTCAGATTCCACGTTTTGTTGATTTTCTGAGTGAAAATAAGTGAACACATCCTTTATAGAGAACACACTTCTGCACATTTTAATGCACAATTATTGTTTATTTGCCGACTTGAACATTTTGGGGGGAGAACACCGAATGTTGCCTGTGCAAACGTTATTTAGATTTTTAACTGAACTATTCCTTTAAACAGCACTAACAAATGAAAACTAGTCCAGCAACTAACTGTTTTTTCCATAATCTATTAACCAATCAAGTATTATTTGATCTAATCTATCTAATTATGTCTCTTTTGTCTACATCTTTCAAAAGTTCCATACTGGAGCTATACAGAGTTTAAATTAATTATATTAATTCTATTTAATACTATTTACATTTAATACAAATTATATTCATTATATTTATATCAATATACAACCGACACTAACTCTAATACACGCGTTAGCAATCTCACACTGCATAAATCAGAATAAGCCGAGCAGTCTTTTAAAAAGGTCAGCTGGCCTTGGAGTGAAAGGAACGGATGACTGGGCTGTGAGCCTGTCTCTGCACTCTGCACCACAATCCGTGTGTAGATCAATGGCCATAAATTACACTACAGCAGAGCAAAAGTGGAGAGACTTTGGCACCACTGCTCATATAAGAGCCCTTTTAGTCAGTGAGACACAGGGACGCATACGGGTGCAGAGTGACTACTAACAGATAAGAGTATGTGTGGGGGTAAATCAATGAGACAGAAGGGACGGTGATGGGCATTGACTACCTGAAACTCTCTGCAGCCTCTTTCTGACCTTCTGAAGGTCTCTCTCTTTCACACTGATGAGCTACAGCACATCAGCATATTTACAGCAAGGTTAACTGACACACAGGAGCGGCTAAACAGTATGCAGGAGAGTGGAGAGTCAAACCGATCTGTCCACTCGAAGTGCTGTCTTCATTGAGGGGGGAATCCATCACTGCGGGTCTCTCAGAAAGATACAAAAACGTATACAAACACATGCAGCTGACAGTCAGGTAGAGATAAAGCGTGAGGACTGGAGTCTCAGTATGTGTTAGTTAATTAAAGGTTCCTCTATAAGCAAACTCAGCAGACAGGACCCAGTTATAGATAAGGCTGTATTTGACACGGCTTGATTAAAAAGTGCAAATTTCATAAGGAGGAATATGTGCTTGAATATAGTTTCTGGCTTCTGGGATCCACAAGGTATTGGGGGGGTGGTTATCAAACTCATGCAAAGGGGAATTTCTCCAAATACAAAGTCACTCAGAGTGGTTTGATGTGAAATGGTTCACAGTAGAGAAACATACAGACTCAGATTTTTTGATAGGAATCAGGGGTCGCCATGACTACAACACAAATATAGACATTTTATTCACTATCCAGAACCACCAGTGAACCTACACGAGTCTTCTGATGGTAAAATGGAGAGAAATATGAGTAAATAAGTTTAAGTACACTATTAAAAAAGTTCTTCAGTAAAGAAAATGGTTCTATGTAGAACCATGAACACTCAAAGAATACTTTACATGATTAAAGGGTTCTTTGCATCGTGAAAGACTGATGGAGAGAGTGCTGTATATAGTTCTATATAGCACCTTTTTAAAAAGGGCTCTATATAGCACCAAAAAGGGTTCCTCTACTGTTACAATGTCAAGTTTGTTATAATAGAAGAACACTTTTTGGTGCTTTATAGAACACTTTTCAGAAAAAGCACATTTTCCATCAATGTGAAGAACGTCTTCACGATGCAAAGAACCATTAAAGCATGCAAAGGGTTCTTTGAGTGTTCAGGGTTCTATATAGAACCATCTTCTTTCACCACAAATGCATTAAAGAAAATAAGCCGGAGGCCAAAGCTATCATTAAACAATGTATCAGGCAACACTTGCAACCAGCTTGCATAATAACAAACGTTAGTTCGCTTTTAGATGCATTGAACTCCTCAGACGTCTGGTTCCTATCACCACCACTGTGAACATTTCTGACTTGGAAAGTTTCTCCAGGACAGAGCTTTTCACACCAAACCACTCTGAATGACTTAATTTAACAGATACTAAGTTGAAGGTAAGCTAACCCCTTAAAACCCCAGGCTTATTACATACTAAGGCTTATTATTCAGTAACTACAGGGACTTCAATGCAAAGTTGTTGAGCTATTGTTAGGTTTTAGAAGTGTGTAATAAGACTTTGGGCCTGCTGGCCAACCCTGACCATTTAAGGGGTTAAAGACAAGCTGAGTGTCTATAAAGCATCTACAGCAGACTCTCAAAGTGCTTATTCACTGTGTTGCATTTACATTTGTGTCCAAATTTAGAGAGCAAAGTTACACTCCACTATACTGCACAGCAGAGAAACACTAACTACAGTTTAATCTGCCCAGAAGTTACAATTTTCCGCCAACAGTCCTTTTACACTACAATAGTATAGATACTAACAAGCATCTACACAATTTAAGTAAAGGGCATTTATTTTTGGATGAGGTTGGGCAGGGACAGAAAAATAAACATGATTACTGTGAAAAAATTGGACTTTAGACATCTCACAATTACATTTTTAGAGGTGTACAGTAAAGACTGCAGTCTCCATGTGCTGGTTTATGAAACTTAACCCTTTAGCTGTGCTGGACTGCAGCCACATATACAGAGTCTTAGTCAGAACTAATTGGAAGCAAAAGCGATCGCCAATTATCCTCCAATCATGGGTTAAGCAGTTTAAGCTTGAAAGTGTGAACAAGTGCAACAGGCTGTTGTAGACTGTGTGCGCATATCTGGCTAGAGAACAACAAAGGGTTTTAGCATGAAAAGAATGCTTTGATCTATCATCATTTTTTTATTCGCTTTGTGTAACTGTCTCACACAAATTATGTTGCAAGCAACTCACAACATGCAACTAGTTGCATGAAAGAGTTACCGTGTAAAACCAGCCTTGAAAATAAGGTAATAGATATGTAGATATAGGAAAAAAGGCAGCAATGGCAGCTGAAAAAAAATATACGAAAATGACAAACATGCTGCAAATACGTAAACTACAGTTCATAGATTACAGCGAGAATGATATGGTGTTTGAAAAATATGAGCTGCTAATTTGGCTAACTAGTGGAGTAATGGAATGGATTGCGTGCAACTTTGTTTTTAAAATGCTCTGTGTAAGTGTTTCACATATTTTATGTTGCAAGCAACTCACAACATGCAACTAGCCGCATGAAAGTTTCACTGTGTAAAGCATTGAAAATAAGGTGATAGATGCATAGGTATAGAAAAAAAGAGCAGCAATGAGAGCTGAAAAATGAAACGAAAATGATAAAAATGCTGCAAATATGTAAACTACAGTGCATAGATTACAGCGAGAATGATATGGTGTTTATAAATATGAGCTGCTAAATTGGCTAACTAGTGGAGTAATGGAAGGTACTGCATGCAACTTTATTTTTAAATTGCTTTGTGTAACTGTCTCACACAAATTACTCACAACATGCAACTAGTTGCATGAAAGTTTCACCGTGTAAAGCCAGCCTTGAAAATAAGGTAATAGATATGTAGATATAGGAAAAAAGGCAGCAATGGCAGCTGAAAAAAAATATACGAAAATGACAAAAATGCTGCAAATACGTAAACTACAGTTCATAGATTACAGCGAGAATGATATGGTGTTTAAAAAATATGAGCTGCTAATTTGGCTAACTAGTGGAGTAATGGAATGGATTGCGTGCAACTTTGTTTTTAAAATGCTCTGTGTAAGTGTTTCACATACTTTATGTTGCAAGCAACTCACAACATGCAACTAGTTGCATGAAAGTTTCACCGTGTAAAGCCAGCCTTGAAAATAAGGTGATAGATATGTAGATATAGGAAAAAAGGGAGCAATGGCAGCTGAAAAATTATACGAAAATGATAAAAATGCTGCAAATACATAAACTACAGTTCATAGATTACAGCGAGAATGATATGGTGTTTATAAATATGAGCTGCTAAATTGGCTAACTAGTGGAGTAATGGAATGTACTGCATGCAACTTTAAATTGCTTTGTGTAACTGTCTCACACAAATTATGTTGTAAGCAACTCACAACGAGCAACTAGTTGCATGAAAGTTTCACTGTGTAAAGCCAGCACTGAAAATAAGGTGTATATTGCATGCAACTTTTTTAACTGCTTTGTGTAAGTGTTTCACATAATTTATGTTGCAAGCTACTCAACATGCAACTAGTTGCACCAAAGCTTTACCGTGTAAAGCCAGCATTGGAAATAAGGTGTTATAAAGTCATTGGATTTTGTCTTTTAAATGTTATGATACATAATGCTTGATATAATACGATGAATCATGCTTAATATGACCAGCAACATTAACTGACAACAACATCTGTTTTCATGTTGACTTTAAGCAGCCGCGTATTTGTCAATATAAGCATGTGTGCGTGTACTGACATGGTTTAACGGCCTGAGCTGTGCTATGTGCTGCAGTGCTATGTGGGCAACTGCGGCTGCTCTGCTGAAAGTCTGAGCGTGCCGGCCCCCTCGCTGAGAGATCAGGGAGCAGGAGAACCTGCTATTCATTTTCCCCTGCCCCATTGCCTCAAAGCCTGTCCCACTTTGATGGTGCGATCAAGCCTGCGCTGCGTGGGGCGGCCAATTTAGAGCACACCGCGTCCCCCCAGACTGCATCCCTACTGCAACCCCCCCTCCCCTCTCTCTCCTCTTCAAGTTAAAGGCTTTTATATCTCTTTTATGGGAGTGTGTATGTGGTGAGCTTATCCAATTATTTTCAAACTCTATCTCTGCCAAAGCGTCTGTTTGGTGCCATCTGTGGGAAGAAGACCCTCATCAAGCGAGCGCGAGAGTGAAAGAATGATGGACGAACAGGACGCGAGTGTCTCAAAACAGAATAAATGCGCCGTTTCAGGCTGAGACTCTGTTTCGTTATCATCCTGTTTTTCTGCCTTAAAA